CGTCCGGACTAAAGAGGAGGGAGACCTTCCAGTGTGTCATTAGCGTTCAGTTCAAAAGCCAGCATCTCTGATGGTATGGGGGTGCATAAGTGCATACGGTATGGGCAGCTTGCATGTTTTGGAAGGCACTATGAATGCTGAAAGGTATATAAAGGTTTTAGAGCAACATGTGCTCACCTCCAGACGACGTCTATTTCCGGGAAGGCCGTGTGTATTTCAGCAGGACAATGCAAAACCACATACTGCAGCTATTACAACAGCATGGCTTCATAGTAGAAGAGTCCGGGTGCTGAATTGGCCTGCCTGCAGTCCACATCTTTCAACTACAGAGAACATTTGGCACAGCATTGTTCTATGATCAGACGAGTCCGAGTTTGACATTCTTGTTGGAAATCACGGACGCCGTGTCCTCCGGACTAAAGAGGAGGGAGACCTTCCAGTGTGTTATTAGCGTTCAGTTCAAAAGCCAGCATCTCTGATGGTATGGGGGTGCATAAGTGCATACAGTAATCTGTGATGGTTTTGATTTATTACCCTCTGAATGCAAAACTTGAATAAATTGTACAATATGCTATTGTATTTTGTTGTACATTGTACTTATGACTGGTTTAAATAATATAGTGATTTGGGTTAAGGTTGAGTAGTCATAAATAACTTTTGATACTTTGGCGTGTGTATTTTAGTTCACTGTTTTCTGAGAATAAACCCTGAAACCTTATCTTCTGATCCAATTTTTTTTTTTTTTAGATAAACTAATCTTCTTATAATACAGTATGTCATTAAACTATCCAGAGAAGTGATGTGTTGATGATTTAATTGTTCTTTAGACTGTGCCTCAGTTTGTAACTAAAAAAATGTCAAGAGAACACTACATTTTAAATGTATTCATTATGTACATTGATTTCTCAACTTTGCACGTTCTTTTTAAACTCTTCCATGTAAACATAACATTATGTCACAGTGATCTCTGGACTGTGCTACTTGGAGCTGTAAAGTAAATATGTTGTTGTAGAGATGTTGTGAACAGAATATTTTGTATGATTAAAAGGGTTATATGATATATCATCCGCATGTAATGCTAAGAAAGTTTAAAAAATGAACAGTTTTTTGTTGTTGTGCCTTTAAGAAACGTCCTCTTAACATGAGCTGCACAGACTTGTGCTGTATATTATACAGTATATTAACTAAGTTTGTTTTCTATATAGGTATTAACTGAACCTTCAATAACAGCCTGTTTACAAAGTTTACTTTACATTGTGTAAGTCCACAGTGAAATAGGCTGGACAAACTGGTAATATCAGAGAAACTTCAGCCACTTATTTCAAATGTTTGAGATTCTTCAGAAACATGTGCAAAGAAAGTGATTTCACAGCCAGGAGAAGTACAATGTTTATGGCTCTTAATTCTTAAAGCTGCAGTCCGTAAGTTTTGCCTCTTTGTCGCCATCTCTGTTTGAAACCTGCAATTGCAGTTATTTGCGGAATTATCTTCTTTACATGGGTTTAGGGCTGTCCCGCTGAATTGGCCTGCCTGCAGTCCAGATCTTTCACCTATAGAAAATATTTGGCGCCTACAATCCATGCCGGACCTGAGTCTTGAACCTGCGACCTTGGGGCTCCAAGCCCAACTCTCTAACCATTAGGCCATGACTGCCCCCGTCGTGGCCTAATATACTACTACTAAAAATGATACCATTTCAATGTTTGTGTGTTTTTAATTATAAAATGCGTATATAATCTGTGATGGTTTTGATTTATTACCCTCTGAATGCAAAACTTGAATAAATTGTACAATATGCTATTGTATTTTGTTGTACATTGTACTTATGACTGGTTTAAATAATATAGTGATTTGGGTTAAGGTTGAGTAGTCATAAATAACTTTTGATACTTTGGCGTGTGTATTTTAGTTCACTGTTTTCTGAGAATAAACCCTGAAACCTTATCTTCTGATCCAATTTTTTTTTTTTTAGATAAACTAATCTTCTTATAATACAGTATGTCATTAAACTATCCAGAGAAGTGATGTGTTGATGATTTAATTGTTCTTTAGACTGTGCCTCAGTTTGTAACTAAAAAAATGTCAAGAGAACACTACATTTTAAATGTATTCATTATGTACATTGATTTCTCAACTTTGCACGTTCTTTTTAAACTCTTCCATGTAAACATAACATTATGTCACAGTGATCTCTGGACTGTGCTACTTGGAGCTGTAAAGTAAATATGTTGTTGTAGAGATGTTGTGAACAGAATATTGGCGGTAATACCACATACTGATACGCTATTGAGCCACTCAAAATTACCGCAAGGGAAATTCCCTCACCGCGACAGCCCTACGTGGGCTGTGCTCCGGCATGGCTCCATGGATTAATCTAATGTTTTGATGTGTGGCTGTCAGTCACCGCACTGGTGTGGATACTGTACTTAGGAATCACAGATTATAAATCTTGGAAGTTTGACCCAAATAAGAATTTTCACCGGATAGTGTCATCTGAATAAGTTAGTAACATGTCTGCCACTTTTGTTCTGACCAACTGAGGAAAAAAACAAGTACAATAAATCACGCTACCAATTCTGATTAAATCCAATTATCGCTTAGCTCTATCACATCAAACCATGCAAATTATTATTATTTTTATACTTTGTTCTCAGATTGTTAATGTTAACAAAATCAGCATTGCGTGACTACGTGTATGTAGTGTATTAGCGTGTAGATATAAATTTCTGTACAGTCTAATCTCTAATTGTCATACCATCCGAATTTCATATAAAGAAATTATTTTAACCCAAAAAGCTAATTATTCTTCCTTAGAACTGGTTCTCTTAAAAATACAAACCTTGTGTAATCTTGTGCTATTTGTAATCAGATGCACAGGTAAAACTGGAATAATCTCATTTCAGTCACATGTGTTTCATAAACACATAATCCTTTCTGGATTACAATCCGCCATCAAAATGATACATTTAATTATTCCAGCTGCTGTGAGAAAAGGCTATAAACGATCACCACCTGCAGCATCCTCACATGCGACATAGCCTACTAGCAGGGACAACTTCTTTATGCTTACAGACGTGATGTAATGATGCCACGGCATGCTCGAATTTCCAGCGAATTAGTACCGAAGTACGAAGTACCACTCAAATTATAAAACATTATTACAAGTTTACCGTTGTGAATCGGGCTAAGGTAAGGCGATAGTTTTGAACACTGGCTCATTATGTACTTGCTCAAAAATTGATTTCAGATGATTTTTAACCAAAAAATTACGGACTGCAGCTTTAATTCTAAACTCTTAATTCTTTTGGTATTAAGAATAATAGCATCTGCTGCTTTCTCATTCTGACAGAAAACATGGCTGATCGTGTGTTGATGCATTTATCACCACAGCAAATGGTCTCTATGGACTAAAGAGAGAAGTTAAAGTATGTTTTCTTAGTCGTCAGACAATCTTATCTCAAAAGATCAAGGAAAATTGGATGGCTCATGCCTAATGGTTAGAGAGCTGGACTTGTAACCCGAACGTCGCAGGCTGGAGTCTCAGTACTGGCAGGAAATGTAGGTGGGGGGGAGTGAATAAACAGTGCTCTCTTCCACCCTCATTTCCCAATTCGAAACCCCAATTGCTCCAACGGTGCCACAGCAAACATGGCTGCTCCAGGTGTGTGTCTATGGTGTGTTTGTGTGTGTGTACCTGTTTTTCTATTCTGGTGGGGACTTAAACCTGAATGCACACAGACTCGTGGGGACTCGTGTCACGGTGGGGACCTAAATTGTAGATGGGCTAAATGCAGAGCACAAATTCCGAGTATGGGACACCATACTTAGTCTACACTTCACGCCACTTTTTTAATGTACAGTATAAAGATGTTGTTGATGTTTCCACATGTTCTGCTTTGTTTGTGAGATTGGCAACTTCTCCTTTTACAGGTATCCTGACTTTAACTTACAGTTACATGGTATTTTGGTTTTCTTGTCACAGCAGTTTTGTAATATTGCAACACCCACAATGTCAGCTGTGTTTTGAGACCATTATCACTCACATATTAACTACACAGGTCAGTAAATAATATTTATTGGACTGAACATTCTGGAGTTTTGAATGTTTACTCTTTCAAACCCTGCAACATGGGATGAAATCTGAATGTTCCTCCATAGATTTTAGTGTTAGTTACTGAGGAGGAGGACGAGGACGTATAAAGTCTGGAGGGCCTCTGCAGAGACGTGGTGGAGGGAAGGGGCAGATTGGATAAATAGCGGGGGGTATTTTTACAAAGCCATGGCATGGGAACTCATGGCGGCCCTCAGGTGCTGATTCTGGAACTCCTGAAGGGCCTTTTGGACAGAGGTGTGGATGTTCCGGGTGGCCCCTATGATCATGTTTTTTGTCCTTGTGGTCATGGCCTGCATGTTCTGGACGCCCCCTTTGGTCTGGTGTTTTGTCCTTGTGGTCATGGCCTGCGTGTTCTGGACGCCCCCTTTGGTCTGGTGTTTTGTCCTTGTGGTCATGGCCTGCGTGTTCTGGACGCCCCCTTTGGTCTGGTGTTTTGTCCTTGTGGTCATGGCCTGCGTGTTCTGGACGCCCCCTTTGGTCTGGTGTTTTGTCCTTGTGGTCATGGTCTGCGTGTTCTGGACGCCCCCTATGACCAGGAAATGTGTCCTTGTGGTCATGGCCTTCATGTCCTGGGCGATGCGGGTGAACATGTCCTGGACGATGTCCTGGTGGTGGACCATGGAATTTACAGTCTCTTCTTGACTGAGCAGGGTGTTTCATTGGATGAGTTATGTTCTGGAAACAAATAGAGCAAATGCATTTTATAGCTAGACAGAATTAAATAACTGGGTCTTACTGGTCCAATTTAAGAGTGTGTTATTGAGATGTATACCTGAGCTTCATAAATCTCACATTCCACATTCACTGGTTCCTCATTTCCAAACTTGGAGGACTTACAGAAGCCATACCGCTAGAGAAAGAGAAAGAGGTATTCAAAACTACATGCTTAAATGTTTAGTTCAACCAAAAATGAAAATTAGCCCGTGATTTACTCACCCTCAAGCCATCCTAGGTGTATATGACTTTCTTCTTTCAGACGAATCCAATCAGAGTTATATTTTAAAATGTCCTAGCTCTTCCAAGCTTTATAATGGCAGTGAATGGGTGTTATTGTTCAACAGTCCAAAAAGAAGTCCAATAAAGTGCATCCATCCATAATAAAATGTGCCTCATACGGCTCCGGGGGGTTATGAACAAAGGCTTCCTGTAGCAAATCTATGCGTTTTTGTAAGAAAAATATCCATATTTAAAACGTTATAAACACTTTTCTCTAGCTTGCACTCACCGTCATACACGGAAGCCATTCCCGTAGATAAGGTAGGATGTGTTGCGCATTCTGCATTCGTGATTAGTGTCGAATGCTTAAGCGTGGAGGAGAGAGCAAAAGAAAACGCCGATCACGAATTAGAAGTACAAATGAGGATTTGTAAAGAAGAATGTCAGAGGATTTCGATATAAGCCAAGAGGAGACTGGTTTTCCTTTGCTAAAGTAATGAAACTTTGCTTCCTTTGCTCCTGTTAACAAACGTTGGTTCTCGTGAGACTAGCAAATTCTCCACGGAGCTTACGCTACGCCGACATCCTACGTCATCCGCAGGAACGGCTTGCGCATACGACAGTTAAATATGGATATTTTTCTCACAAAAACACATCGATTCGCTACAGGAGGCTTTTATTCACCCCCCGGAGCCATGTGAGGCACTTTTTATAATGGATGGATGCGCTTTATTGGACTTCTTTTGGACTGTTGACAAAAAAACACCCATTCACTGCCATTATAAAGCTTGGAAGAGCCAGGAAAATTTTTAATACGAGTCCGATTGGATTCTTCTGAAAGAAGAAAGTCCTATACACCTAGGATGCCTTGAGGGTGAGTAAATCATGGGCTAATTTTAATTTTTGGGTGAACTAACCATTTAATGTTGTTAAAGTTGCCTATACTGTTAAAGCAAGACACTACAGGTGAATTGTGTAAAAATCACCATAATTTACCCATTGATTAATCACAGTACATTAAGATAATTGTTTTATATTACAAGTTTTCAGAAAGGTTATGTTTAAATATGCAAATGAGGCATTTTCTATTGAATGCACTAATTTGCATGTATTTCAAAATTCTTGTTTCATTTTGTTGCCATATTATCATTTATCAGAATATTGTCAACAACCAGAAACATATTTTAGGAATAAAATGAATCATATTTTTAGAAATAAAGTGTTATATAAATCAGGCAAATGATATATGAACGTACCCCTGTGTAAAAGCCTTCAGAATATATATAGAATAAAACTGTAAATTTTGGTGTATGTAAGTGCTACTGAAGTGGAGAACAAACTCACAGCCTTTAATTGAACTCTTCAGACACAAATAGATAAAGTGTAAAAAAAAACAAAAAAAAAAACTAAACACATAATTTGTAATTTGTATGTTTTCTTTACACTAGTCTGACATTAGACATGTTATGGAAGCCAAATATAGCCCCAAATTTTCTAATTGACCAGTGCCTGAAAAAAATATTATGTTGCCTGTAGCATCTTGCCTTAAAGGAATAGTTTACCCAAAAATGAAAATTTTGTCATCAATTACTCACCCTCATGTCGTTCCAAACCTGTATGAGTTTCTTTCTTATGTTGAACATAAAAGAAGATATTTTGAAGAACCAAACAGTTGCTGGTCCCCATTGACTTACATAGAAGGGAAAGATATACTATGGAAGTCAATTGGGACCATCAACTGTTTGATTACCAGCATTCTTCAAAATATCTTCTTTTGTGTTCAACATAAGAAAGAAACTCATACAGGTTTGGAACGACATGAGGGTGAGTAAATGATGACAAAATGTTCATTTTTGGGTGAAAAAATTAGTTATAAAGTAATGAACTTCTTGTGCACTTACAGCCTGATCCCCACATAAAGCCTTGCATGATTCTTCATTCTGGGGTGCCTCCTTGTTTGTACAGTTTGTCTCCATAATGGCAAACTGAGCAAAGAAGCTCTGACCCGAAAACATCCACTAAGAAAACAGACAAATATTCTGTTAACATGCAAACCACTTACAAGCAAAGAGCATAATGACCATATTCAAAAAGTTGTCTGTTTATGTCACTGTAATGTCCAATACAACAGAATTGCTGTGTGAGGCCAGAAACATCTACTCAAGATGCAATATAAATTCTTGCACTTTGGTGGTTGTATAGTTTTAGCATCTGTTGGTTTAGTTTTTGCGGTGTGTTGAGATGGAAAATAACACTATTGTCTTCTATAGATGAGCTTTGAAACAATCTCTATTGTACAAAGTGCTATATAAATAAATGTGATTTTACTTGACTTGTTCCGCACCTTGGCACTAGTCAGACTTTTCAGCTGACAGATCGGTGACTTATTAAACCGGTGCATGAAAAGAATGACGAAAGCAAGTAAACAACGAAATCAAAAGCATAAACACAGAAGGCGCTTCTCATGTTTTATCTTCATCTGTGATCATTGTTATCAAATACATCTGTGGTGAGCGAGATGGGGTGAAAATGGTAAGCCAGCACAGCCCTAGCTCTTCTGGTTCCCCTTATTGAATGACGAATACAGGCTATCGCCACCTGCTGGTTTGGAGAGTTATTTCCTCTCATGTAGGCACAGAACATACATGCTAGTTGTCTGTTGGCTGTAGTCTTTGCGGTGAGTTCAAGCTCAACTTTTACTTTTTGGCTCAGACACAGATGTCTTGAGGCAACAACACAGCAGCTTTTGTCGGCGCTAGTTTTTTGACGTCAGTTTGGTGTGTCTGGGCCAATAAATTCAGTATTCAAGTGGAAAACAAAGTTCATTTGGAGATCATTTCGAAAGTTTGATGCAGGTTCCCAAAGCTAACTTTCTGCAAAAGAACTACCAAACATATCCACGTTCCTATGATCAGATACTTTCTTAACTGCTGTTTTCTCAGAAGAACTTCGCCATGAGCATATCAAGGCCTAAATGAGTTGCGTTTTGACACAACTTTGGAACGAATTGGTGCATGTGTCGCTAGAAGCATTTCCACTCATGTAAGTTGCGTTACATATTCAAGCTTAAAACAAGATTGAGAGACATCACCTGTGTGCTGATCCTTCCCACTTCCATCAGTTTAAAGTAAGACTTGTGATCAGATTCTTTGTTGAATTTCTGCAGGGCAGTTTTCACACTTTCCAGAGCCTTCGGGTCATGCAAGGGCAGCAGACTGGGGCAGTCAGGGCATTTTGTCAGAAGTATTTCATGTGAAGCTGGGATAAAATACAGGAGCAATATACAATCACGATGTAACTTATAGGAGATGCATTACCTTTTCTGTACTCTTTGACAAAGTGACCTTAAAGATTACTATGGGTTCTTTGAAAGGCTAGATATGTCAAGTTTCTAAAGAAAAAAATCATTCTATTGATTTGTTTACCTGGTTCGGTGTCACAGATGTAGCGCTTCACAGCTGCTTTTCCCTCAACACTGGAGACGGTCACATTACATTTTGCTTTCACTTTCTTTAAGGGGGACATTAAAGGCTGTTAAATAGATGCACAACTTACAGAAGTAGACAGTATTTACAGACAGTATTTCTCAAATTAGAGTTTGGAAGATCTGTGATGTTCATCTCACCGTCTGTGTTTCCATTCTAGTGGTACACTGATCTAAAGGTTTGGGATTCACAATGTGGCACTCAGTTTCCTCTAGAGTTATTCCCAAGACGACCTCACAAGGATCAGTCTGCACAAAAACAAGACAATTTGTAGCATTTGCACATCATACTTTATTCCTTTAATTTATCTTATTTTTCTGTGGTTGTAATCACTCTTTTACACCTTATGTAGATATGAAAACATCCACAGGAAGACAGTGTCACAAAGCCTCACCTTCTCCTCTGCACTGCGACTGTCCAGTGAGACGAATTTGAATTTGTATCCATGGCGGTGACGGTCATTAATGAAGCTCTCAGCTTCTAATGTAGCAATGTTGTCCTGATCTTCCTGGCACTCATATTCACCTTCTCCTCTGCACTGCGACTGTCCAGTGAGACGAATTTGAATTTGTATCCATGGCGGTGATGGTCATTAATGAAGCTCTCAGCTTCTAATGTAGCAATGTTGTCCTGATCTTCCTGGCACTCATATTGCACATCAGTGTCTGTCGGGAGGCTGGCCGCGTGTAGAGCCGAGACCACAGCTGCTAATATCACCAGCTCTCTCATGCTGCACAGGGACACGAACGATAAATCTTCAACCAAGAAAAAGTCCCCCTCGCTTGTCCAGACCTTTATAACATACACTGCAGGGGGATATAAGCAAACAATTTAGTGCCAGAGATGCTTGCCAATGTAAATGATATCTAAAACAAATATAAAAGAGGGACGTGAGGGAGTGTCATGTCAGAGGTGATTGTTAACTCACGCTAACTATTAGCAGAACTCACCTTGACACTGATGTTTTGTTTGAATTCGTTGAAGTCGTTTCTGGATTATGATTAATGGGGCATACTGCATCACGTGTCACATAATCCTTCAGAAATCATTCTGATATGCAGATTTAATGCTCAGTTGGTTCTTATTATAATAAATTTTGAAAAGAGTTTTGGCTGCTTAATAGTTTTGAAACTGTGACACATTTTGTTCAGGATTCTTAGCTGATAATAAGAGATGAGAAATAAATTACTAAATAAATGCAGTCTTGGTGAGCATAAGAGACTTCTTTAAAAAAATCTTAATTATTCCAAATTGTTGACCAGTAGTGTATAAACTGTATAACTCTAATATTTACAGTTCTTTATGATAGTCTCTTAGATCGTGCAGATGAGTAGAGTTTTATGCTTTTTGCTTCTTCTACACAATGCATTTATACTATTTTGAAATAAATTGAAATAGAAGATAATTTGATCAAATATTATTTTATATGTAGCATTAAATAAGTGTCATTAGTTTCATGTTGCGTTGGCACAATATTAAAACGCTAGAACTGTCAATAGATTTTTAAACAATTATATGTATTACACACTGTGCCAATTGAATTACATGATGTGGTCAGTCAAAATAACTGCAGTTAAGCAGATGAATATTTGCTGACAAAAGTCCTTAAACGAAGGTATTTCAAAAACCTAACATTATTGTGGCATATGACTCCACTGAAAAGACATTAGAAATCAATATAAACTTTGTTTTATGTCCAGTTCATCCAACATAAGCCTATCAGAGGTCCGTAGTCCATGTTAGTCTATTTTGCAATCAAGCTCTGACTTTGGACTCATGAGGCTTGAAGCTTGAGTTGCTTTAATAGTAAAAGAATTGTAGTAAAAGATTTGTAAAGGACAGGCTTTAATGGGGTCACGTTTTTATTAGTAATAAAGTGTCTACACTAATTTCTTTGTGTTTAAAGTCCATTGACTTCCTGCCAGTGGCGTTACTGGCTCTCAATACTTTTAACTATATATAACACCACTGACAAAATGTTTTTTAAAAAAATCCTAAAATGATTTACCTATGACCTATGAAATTAGAAACAGAAAAAGAATTAAGCTTTATAGACGGTGCCTGTTGCATAATATTGATTACAGAGAAAACACATACAACCATGCAATAAATCCATACAACAATTGTTTCAAAGACTGAAATGCATTGTCAGCATGTCTGGGCACAAATGTAGTGATATTCATAAAATATTTTTTTTCATTTATTTTTTTTTTAATTGTGGGGGTGTTGTGAGAGAAAGTGAGAGATCAGCACTGACAGATGAAAATCAATATTTTATCCAAACTGAGTAAAGAGAAGGTAAAGTTCACCTCCAAACAGCCAATGAGAAGTGTGGCACTTGCATCATTTGGACGCCAACTGTTTGCTGAACTCTGATAAACAGAACCTGCTGTGACTTTGCCCATGTGGGGGTGATTTGCCTCATTAACCTCTTTTTTTTTTAGATGTCCATGATGCAATCAATCTATCAAAATCTGGTGTAACTTTTCATCATGAACACATACACACTGTTTGATTTATTAAAAATGATATGACCATGGCCTCTTACTACAATGAGTGAGGTTTTACAGAGCAACCAGTACCACAAGGACAACCCCCAAAAAAGTGGGAGTACAAGCTTATCTTTTTTACACTTTTTTTTTTTACTGCACAGAGCCAACAAAACAAAGAGCTAAGAATCTGTCATGCCACTAGTGAATGATCAGGTCATGGGGTCCATTCAACAAAATGACATTGCACATCACATTTATTCAGCGGTGTTGTGAGAAGAATTGTGCACATATGTTTGTATTTCATGCATTGATTTGGGTAAATTATTTTTAATATGCCCCATTATTTTCCAAACAGGAACATGGGAGGAGTGGAATGGATGTGTCTGATGCCCTCATCCGGTATTATGGCGTGTGTTTGTGTTGTCAAAAGCAATGTATGTTTGTAATGCTTTAAAAGCCATCTATATCCTTTGTATGATATTTTCAATCTAAAAAAGGGATATCAGTTTGTGTTGTGTCAGATCAAGTGGTAAATGTCGTTAGAAATCATTAATGGGGCAGAAGTGTCACCTAGTGGTCTCTGTTAAGACAGCACTAAAAGTCTCACAGAAACTATTCATGGCCCAAACATTAATTTAAGCAGAGCGGCTTCGGTGCAAAAACAGGTTGAGAGCCACTGATTTAGAACCACATCGTCCTGAAGAACCCTTTTATGCTGAAATGGTTCTTTGTGTTAGAGTTTAGGGTTCTTTATTCCCACCTTTTTGTTTTTCAAATCTGTAACTTTCAAAGCACCTCATTACTGATTTTCTGGAGCTCAGCTATCCATCTACACAGACTTTCAACACACTTTAAACAGATTAATGATTTCATTCATAAATTTACATAAAAAATGTAACTTTTAAATTAATAACTTTTGTGTGAGCAGCTCTGTTAAGCTGAAGATAGGATACTTCTCTCCTAACAAGTAAGCAACAGAGATATTGAATTTATAATCCATATTGTTAGTTTTTTAGTTATTACTTGGGTTTTTGCGTAAATATCACACCAAAGTGATGGACTTAAAGGCATAGAGGATTGTGAAGATATTTCACTGGAATTTGGTCTTCATCACATATATTTTCTGTTCCTGTTTTGTGTTTTACTTCTTTGTTTTTTTTTTCATGTCAATAAAAAAATACCTGTGTCAAACAACATGCTGTTGTTGTTTTAATGTAAAACCCTAATAGAGGCTATAATATAATTTTAATATAATTATATAATATAATACCAGGCAGATATAGGGTTAAAAAACAATATTAATAATAAAAGTGATGTGACATGTGGCCAAGTATGGTAACAGTATGGTAACCCATACTAGGAATTAGTGCTCTGCATTTATCCCATCCTAAGTGCACACACACACACACACACCGTGAACACACACCCGGAGCAGTGGGCAGCCATTTTTTGCAGTTGGGGGTTCGGTGCCTTGCTCAAGGGTTTTGAAGGTGGAAGAGAGCGCTGTACATTCACTCCCCCCACCTACAATCCCTGCCAATACGAGACTCGAACCTGTGACCTTTGCGTTACAAATCCAACTCTCTAACCATTAGGCCACGACTTCACTACTTTTAATAGTAAAAATTATATAATGATAGAAATACACTAATATATTAACATTAATGAAAATAAACTATCATTAAAAAGGTTATTTATAACACCATTACATTAGGGACCTATTGTCAGCAAATCACCACAATCACCAGCCACAACACCAGATCACGCTCACCTGAGTTCTGATTCCCCGCACCTGTCATCTGCAATAAAATCACCATTCATAAGAACGCTCCTTTCAGTCACTTACCATCCAGTCTACCGTTCACTACACTGAACTTTACCAGACTGTCTGAATGCTACCTATCTGTTTATACTTACCTCTAGATCCCTGAAGATCTTCCAACGTTGCTCTTCTCTGCTCCTGGATCCTGAACTCTCAAAGAAATCTGCAAAGAAATCAAACATCAGTACTCTGCTAAGAATCATTGAACTTTACTTTATATTGGATTCTCACCTACCATTGCTCCAGAAGATCTGCCTCTGCAAATACATTTACATTTAATCATTTAGCAGACACTTTTATCCAAAGCGACTTACAAATGAGAAACAATAGAAGCAATCAGACCAGCGAGAGAACAACAACAGTATATAAGTGCCATGACAAGTCTCAGTTAGTCTAGCACAGTACACGTTGCTAGGGTTTTTTTTGTTTGTTTTTTTTAAATCGAATGGAATAGAATAGGTAAGTGCTAGTATTAGTTGGTCAAATGCTGGCAAAAAAGATGTGTCTTTAGATGTTTTTTGAAAATGACTAAAGACTCAGCTGTTCGAATTGAGATCGGGAGGTCGTTCCACCAGCTGGCCACAGTCCAGGAAAAGGCCCGTGAGAGTGATTTTGTGCCTCTTTGGGATGGCACCACAAGGCGTCGTTCACTTGCAGAGCGCAAGCTTCTGGAGGGCGCATAAATTTGAACTATAGCGAGTTTAGGTATATTGGTGCAGCGCCAGTGGTGGTCTTGTAGGCAAAATTACTGCTTGTACCTTGAATTTGATGCGAGCAGCTACTGGTAGCCAGTGTAACCTGATGAGGAGAGGAGTAAAGTGAGCTTTGTTTGGCTCATTGAAGACCACTCTCGCTGCTGCATTCTGGATCAGTTTGAATGCTAACTGTTAGTCTCATGAAGTTAGGACAGTCTGAGATTGCTATTTTATTCTTTTGATATATAGGGAGTGCTTTAAACAGCCTTTTTATTTATTTTTTTTATTTTTTATTTTTTTTACTCACACAAAGATCAAGAATCAGCACATGAATCTCAACAATGGTGACAATCAATGCAAACCTTTTTTGTGACTTTAGTAGCTTGTTTTGTGATGTTCAGAGTTGACTGTCACCATTGTTGAGGTTCATACACAGATTCTTTATATATATCTTTTATATAATATTTGATGCATAATGATTTAAAAACATAATAAACTTCAAAGCAATACAACACTTCAATATGTGAAACTAGTAAATTTAAACAATACACTCCAGATGTGATTTATGACCATTACTTGACGCTTTAATTCTCAGCTTTCTAAGTTTTTACTAAGTACTTTCAGCAGCATCAAAAGTACTTTAGAAACACACATTTACAACAACCACAAAAAAAAAAAAAAACATTTAAAAAGTCAAGGATCAAGAGCCCAACTAAAACAAACACTTATACCCACAACGGTGACTTAAACCTTTATTATTGTCAATAAAACATCAACATCTAAACCTCTGTTA